TTTTTGAATTTCACTTTTGTGTAAGTAATATTGCTGTCTCTTATACACATCTAGATGTGTATAAGAGACAGTATATAATCAAGGTGATCTTTTTGTAAGTCATCAAGGGTGAGAGGGCTCATCCGGTTGGGAGCAAAATAAAACGAACAAAGTAGACAAACTTAGAAAAATTCCATATGCATTTATTAGTACAAGTTTGTTTCGTATGGACAGCTGTTAAAAGCTGCCCACACTCATCAGGTACAAATACATAGTGAGTAGTCAGTACAAGGATTACATTAATTAATGCTAAGAGATATGGGGAATATACGTGGCTATGGTTCCTACCATTGTCTAACTGAGGTGTTAATATTGCTTAGTTGTTACAAAATAGATGCTTTTTTCTGTGTCTACATGAAGTTACCAATTCATTTCTATTATTTAATGTGCCTAATTTTGGTTTACAAATTATGAAATACTTTTCCATCAGGCACAGATTACACTTTTTTTGGGCCGGAGAGTATGGCTTGCACTTGGCTATGATTTTCCATTTTAACGAATACAGGATAGAGTTATCTTTAAGGGTCCATATATATTGGCTAAGAGTTGTAGCATTCAAGTTCAAAATCAACAAGCGATTTAATAGTGACAATTAGATATTAAAGAGAACCAGTCAAAAGAACAGTATACTGTATTGCTAAATCCCTGTAGGGATACGAACAGCATTTTCCCTTGGCTGAAAAAAACCATCAAGTCTTAGATTGGCAAGTTGGGAGTATAATCTTCCAAATTAGGTATTGATCATATCATAAATGCTTTCCGCATGCTTAAATCTTTTGAAATAGCAAGAATACACATCGTTATAATGGTATTTAATTAGGAGGTTAGTCAATATTGAACTAATTATGGACCAATTACCAAGGGAAATCTTTGGGCAAGAAATTGAGGACTAAAAGCTTTGGATTTCAGACTTTGGTAAATATTGGATATTATAAATCAAATATGAATAATGAATATTAAGGGATCTCGCTAATCCAATTGGTAATGTGATAATAAAAATTCTGCAATCTGAATTATAATGCAAACAAAGCTACTACAAGGGTATATCACCCCAATCTGTTTTCTACCTGTTGATGCTTGTATGTCAAAATTGTTTCTCGTGTTTCAACATGCATCACACTTGACTATCTTGTTGAACCAACAACTACTACCGTAAGTTTCAAGGCAATAGCTGAAGTCTAATTTCTATTTACACAGCATAGAGATTGATCATCATACATGCAACATTCACTGTTTGTTCTGCTCTCTACATGATCAGTAAAATAAATGTCCGAATGGCCAAATAATAGAGAGGTTTTGCACATGAACGAATACGTATACACATACATTTAGCTATCCATAACATTTCGTAGTCATTCTGTGTTTTTCGCAATCACAACGCAATTCAGGCGTAGCCTAGGCCTAGGGCCTTAGCTTAGGCCTCCTATACTCTCTCTTCTCTCATCATGCTTCTCAAAGATTTATTATTATATGTAAGGTTTTGGAAATTGAAATTGAAAATTGTAGCCGAAAAATATTTCCATTGTTGCCCCAAAGTGTTATTTTGTGATAGGCCCTATTGTTTATGACCCAAAAGTGCCTGGCTACAAGTAGGCTGTACAAAGTAATTTGCTGTTTTCAAATGTCACAAAAATGACATGTACGTATTCAAAGATGCATTATTTTTTACTTACGTAAAATGTGAAAAAATAAACGAACATCCTACTAGAAATCCAAAATTTCCCTACGCGTTTTTCACTTACGTGTAGTGAGCGAGATATGCGTTTCGTCCACACGTTTAGCAGATAGCAGCCGATGTATGATGTCAAAATGATGACGTATCCGTCACACTAACCGTACGCGTTTGCATGCGAAACCTCCCTAATATCTGTCAATCATACCATAGCTTTGGTAGTCCAAGCGAACGAATACGCTTGTCACATAGTCACAGCCAGGTTATTGGTGCAATGGAAATGGTGCCCTTTTCCAGCTTGAAGGTTTTTTGTTCTGAATTAATTTCAATTTCAATTTTATTTTATTCATCCATTTGTATAAAAACATATGGAAATGTGTTTTGTGCACACAATATATCAAATATCAATTTTTCATTAAGATAACAAACAAAATATAAAACATTAACAGAGAAATATTACAGCAAAAAAAGAACTTGTGTACACTTGACATTATATACATCTCTTTATGCTATAATTTATACTTACTGACTTGGGTACTACCAAAAAGCTCTCACCTAGCATAATTTTTGACCAAGCTCATTCTGGCGCCCTCTCAATCCTGCGCCCAGGAACGTATCCTTTGCACCCCCCTGTAGTATATGTTTCAGTCACAGCATATTTAGTGTGGATAGCCATTAAAGGGATATTATAAATGTCTTTTTGTTCCGTCCCTGTTATATATGCCACTGTTGCAAATCACCTTTCCCAAGTTTATTGAGTGAATGTAATTACAGTAGTAGGTCTAGCATGTTCCACTGTGATTGTTTTAGAAAGAATGTGTTTGGATCTGCATACATCAGTTTGCATATAAAGTTTTAAGGAATTTTTTGTTGAGGCAGTGGGACCACGGTAGTAAGGCTTATGTGAGTGTTTAAAAATTTTTTAAGGCTTTTGTAAATTTTTTTTTATGTGTATAGTATTTTTGTACAACGAGCAGAATTAACCCTACATAAGATCTGTTTCTGAATTTGAACTTCACGGTACAATGAAACAAAATGCATGGTATTAAAATGTTAAGGAAATTAGGAACAGAATAGGAATGATAAATTGCTGACAATTTACACTGAGGGATACAGTTCAGTCATCAATAAGATCAAATCAAATTGCAACAGATAAATCATAACATTTGTGACAGATTTTCTAGGCTGAAAGTATATCTCAATAATAAGTATCTAATGTGGATTTGTTATTTAAATTTTTATTTCCTTCGTTATTTATACATGTAGATACAGAAACAATCAGTATAATAGAAAAAACTACAACTACAAAATGGCTGTTGTACAAATAGAGGTAAACACCTCCATACTGGTTAATGTTTCTAACAAAACAAAGAACCATTTGTAACAAATTTTTCATTCATTTTTAAAATCTTCTACAGATTCCTTTTTGAATGCCAATACTGAAATGTTAATTGAGATGTGCATTTTATATTTTTTATTTTGCACTGCAAAGGATGAATTTTTTTCAGTGTGAAATACACCAGGATAGCCCATGTGGGGGTTCATCTGGTGGTGAATTTGAACACAACAAACAATTACTTACGAGAGAGGTGGTTTGATTTATTCCATCCGGCTTTAATATTCATCAAAATTTGTTTTGCCTATGCTGAGTTTTGCTTGCCCGAAGGTGTATATATACACCTTCGGGCAAGCAACAATATTGCAACCAAATATATTACCTCTGCAAAATTTTTTAAAAACTGCATAATTCTGGATATGCAATGATATTTTTAATTAAATATTAACCAAAATATTGTTTCAAAATACTACATTTTAATATTAGTTTTCTGTAGTTTTATTTATATATTTTCATTTCTTATAAATTTTTGAAAAATGTTTTTATTGCATAAAGAGAATCGTTGCTGGATAACATGTTAAGTTCTTCTGTAGCTTAGTGGCTACTGTAACATGCTCATCCGGTAAAAAAAACCAGAAAATAGCATTTTCTTTTTTCATGACTAGAAATAGCTTCATAATGAGATTGGGCCGATTGGCTTCATTTTAATGATGAGTAACTTACGGCAATATTGAATGAGAGTTAAATACAAAACCCCTGGAACTCTACTCTATGAGATGTCAGCTCCCATTCCCACATAGATCCATCATTGGAAGTGTATACATGTGCATGGGAAATGTGTCATGATTAAACAGATTGATCAAATTCATCACATACTCAAAACCAGACAATCTGCGAGTGTATGGTCTTTAACTAAACAATTTTTCATACATTTGGAATTCAGACACAAGGCTTAAAAACCAACGATGTTTATAACATTAAAGGTCATTTTCAAAATTAGCGATGTAATTATTGCCAAACCCCATGCATGTGACAGAGTTTTGGCGAGACAGGTCATTATTTTAACTGTCAACCAGCCATTTTACCAGATAGATATTTTTCTGTTTCTCAACTCCGACTGGCTAATGTAAAACATGATGCATATCAATGATCTGCTGATGCACGGTTAACTCGGAAATCTTTCATGAGGTATTCAACCTTGCTGTAAGTTACTCCCGGCAAAATGCTACTTGTTACCAATTTTAACACAAAATTTATTATTGACAAAAAAGGTCGATGTTTTGGGTCTATCATGGATGCATTTTCAAAATCAAGTGAACAACAATAAATCATACAAAATAACCAAAATTAGTTATTTTTATGATCTTTTGTTGTTCATTTTATCCTGAAATGCATCAATGATGGACTCAGAACAGGAAACGACGTCGTAATTTTTACTAATTGCTAGTGAAATTATTGTCTGTCATTATTGCAACTGTCAAGCATCAGAGGCAGCAATGGGCTGGCTACAAAATATTGACTTGTGTGAACTTCTCCCTGGTCCATGCCCATCATCTTATGTCTTGTGAAATTATGTCTTTCAGAAAAGCAATTTTAGTAAAAACTAGGTTACGATTTTTTGTGTTCTACTTCGCTTAATATTCACTAGTTTGCATCACACATACCGTAATGCATACACACAATTGTTTTAATATTACTACACCATCACATTGTATTCTTTCAGTGTATTTACCTTTGAGGCTCAAATCAAAATCAATTTTTCAATAATTCACAAGTCTGGTAGCATCATTTGCTATACCTCCAGAGTTCTCCTGAGGCTGGATTAGCCAGCATACAGTACTACTGGAACAAAGCTGAACATCTATCAACATAAAAGCCGAGATAAAAATTTTACTCACCTTTGATGTTATGGATCCTAGAATTTACATACACATTCCAGTCCCATGCTAAAGAAAAGTAAATGTACAATAAAACATAATTTAACCAGTTTAATAAAAATAGTCTGTAGGTAGGTTTAAGAGCAAATTATCTTTAATCTTTGTATTTCACATTAAGTCATAAATGTGTTATATCGTCTTACATATCATCTGATCTTAAAATACAGTATACACCTTTAAAATCAGATATGCTAGTTAATTAGCAAAATTAGATGGACTTGCCAAAAAAAAAATCATTTGTGTATGAGCACTTATTCAAAAATGGTTCTTATTTGAGTCCTACAATGTCAAAGCTTCCTGGAGGCTTTGCACCTTGAGCCTCAACCCGTCACTCTTGGTTGCCCATGAACCCAATACACTGAGAGGAAGACACCCATCTAAAACCCTTCAACTGGGGCATCACCCATTTAGTGAAATTACACATCCCAAATTATTATATTATACTTATTGAAGTCAATCATAAATATTAATCATTTTCCTTTAATTTTTATTATTAAAATGGTAAGGAAATTATGAACAGAATAGGAATGATAAATTGCTGACAAATTTACACTGAGGGATACAGTTCAATAAAATCAAATTGCAACAGATAAATCATTACATTAACAATTTTAAACGTGTTAATGATGAAAACTGTTGTATTATCATGGATTATTTTGGAAACTCATGAAGAGCTTTTCTACCTAAGAAAAAGCTAACACTTACTGTAAGCAACGAGTATACTCGCCCACAGGGTGTTGCTGAGGGTGCCAGGGACGAGTATACTTGTCAAAATCGGGGTAACATTCTAACGTTTATAACTTCTTTGTTATACATTGTAGAACAACAGACTCAACAGCTGGTAGTCCGAGAAAGATACACCTAGACGATAAGGTACAAATGACGTATGTATGTTTGTTGTGTTATGTTGCCGGTAGTACACTCGAGCAGCTCAAGTGGGGGTGCCAACCAACCCATGCAAAAAGTGGACAAGATAACTCGCACTTGGCATAATCAATAAAAAGTGCTACCACAGTGCCGCCGGCAATTTATTAGACACATCACTTTGATGATATACAGTATGACTAGATAAAATTTCAAAAAAATATGTTTGTACATGTAAACTTGTATTGGCACACGAGAAGGAACATTATAAAAAGGTCTGGCAGTCAACGTGTTAAATAACTGATATTTTAATTCACAAGCATTTCAATATAGTGTTCCAAAATCTTAATTTTTTAGTGTCTTTTTCCATGGTATAATATTTTCTTAAATGTATGTATGTAATTTGCAAAAGTGACAAGAATTTTGGCATGCAGAAAATATCCAATGAGTAGTAGTGCATTAAGTAGTATAATCCATTATATATATTTGACAGATTCTTGTGCTTTTTTTAAAATGAACTTTCAATAACAGTGGTGAGTTATTGGCAGTTAAGTGGAATATAAGATATACCAAAAGTTCAGAAGTCACAAGACTGAATTCGCGAATACATGTCTATAAATGGCTTTTACTTTCGGTAGACCTGTCATCATCTGCAATGTAAATATACTGTACTAAAAAATGAAAGTGTGAAAATATAAAATGTGTCTTTTTTTCCAATTTAAATTCTAAAATCTAACCACCAACTTTTAACATAGGCTAATATTTCAAATATTATTTACATTGTAGTGTCTAAGTTATTACAATTGATTTTTATTTCACTATTTTTGCTTTTAAAGCTCCTACAAAACTGATTGAAGACACTTTTATATTGAAATAATTTATTACAAAATAAAAATTATACTACTTATATTAAAATGTACAATTAATTAATAATAAATATGTTGGAATCTATATATTTGTACAATTGGAATCTTACTGCTAGGTCTATGTAAATCGGAATCTTCCATTGCATAACAATAGTAATCTTATTCTACTATGTATCCTTATAATATGTACAATCAGAATCATATACTGCTAGGTCTATGTAAATCAGAATCTTCCACTGCATACCATTAAGAATCTTATTTTAATTTCTACTATGTATAATCAGATCCTTATAATATATACAATCAGAATCATACTGCTAGGTCTTTGTCAATCGGAATCTTATACTGTACTACTATACAATCAAAAAGTTATACATACTACTATATACAATATTTGTCCATACTGCTAATTCTTCCAGTGGAAGGAGCATCCATGACATATCACACACATGATAATGAAAAAATAAAATTGTTAAGACATTGATATTTTTGATATGGACCCTAAACACATATTTATACTGTGTTGTTTCTTAATTTATTAATTATTAAGTTAATCAAATCATCTTCACAGGCATTTAGGATTATTATGAAGGCATCACTTCTATTTTCTAAGGAATGAATACTTTGATATATTTAATTTTTGTCCAGTAATATATTTAATTTGTTGTCTTTTATGGAGTGTATAATAAAAGTTTCACATCTTGCACAATACTATTTTCCCGTCTTGTAATAAAAGTAAACGTACATTTGGTAATACAGCAGGAACTGCTTTCCGTAACCCTCTTTCAAAATCCAACATCACCTCCTCTGTTGCAATCTCTGAAGCTAATACCCATTTCATTGGTCTTAAGACGGCTTTATAGCACTTGCCTCCTTTCCTGACACCAAGGCATAAACTAACAGTATCTGTTTGGTTGCTCCATCTTAACGAAAAAGTGGACTGTAAACAGATAAAGGGGTGTCAAACCACTTTAAATGTCCCGTCTATGTCCAACATTTTAGCCAATGACTGAAGCGTCAGTTGTTCATCCCGAGCAAAAAAATAAATGGCGTCGAACATTGCCCCACACAATGTTTTTCAACAAGAATTCTAAAATGACAAAAAAAATTATGATGTTTAGCTAAATTGTACTGCAGAGTATGGCTTGGTCTTCATTCAGTGGAGTGGAAGGAGGTGTCGCAAAAGGGACCTTTTGGCCACAGGGAAATCCTGGCAAATAAAAATGTAAGACAATCAATGATTAACTGAATTTCAAAATGATTTATTCCTCATTTACATTGATTTATAATTTCATACAATTCACAGGATTATGATGATTGATAAAATTTATATAAATTTAAAAGAAATAAAACACATTATTATGTTTTTAAAAGTAAAAATGTAGGGAAAATTTGGAACTTTTCAGTCAATATATCTTTTCAAAATAAGGGGGAAATAATGTACGGGAAACCGTATTCTCACAGTTTTGAGTTTTTGTCAACAAATTCTGTTGGCCTACGTGGGATGCTATCCGTAGTGCAATTATTGGGAACATCTAGTCAAACTCCACATTCTCCTGATACAGTCATTATAAAATGCTAAGGTGATACATTTGAAATAGGTCAATAAAATGAGTACCTGTATTTGAAGGATAATATTATTGATAAATAGGCATACAGGTACTGCAAATTCACAATGAGACAATAAAATGGAAGTTATACGAGAAATAGTAGCAATTATTGTGAAAATAAAGAGGAAAGTTCTCACAAAAAATTGTCTCAACTACAGTATGTCTATATAAATTACCCTATTCAATAACAAACTTACTTTGAGTACAGGATCTGTGAAGCACATCATTCCATTGCTTGTTGGTTTCTGGTCACAATTTGACTATACTTAATACAGAGATATTTAAGAGCCCAGATCAGCTGCTGCGGTGTCAGGTATTCATTATTCTGTTTAGTTTCAGTTTGTTCACGTGTCAGATAACCTCAGGAAATAGTACCGTTTTAATAAAATCTGCCATCTTATATAGGTAATGTATTGCTTATTTGAATTAAATGAATGGACATTCACAAACAAAACAAAACAAGATGTGTGCCTTTATGGGTGCTATTCCTTGGAGTCAACCCAATTGCTACATGTTGGACATGCGGTCACATCACAAAACACAATTATTTTATTGTTTTTTTTATGGCAGAATTCAATTCAATTTAATTCAAAATGGTATATTTATTCAAGATTCAAAATTCAAATTAAGACATAAAACATAGCAGCCAAAAGGCTGAATTGCGAATTATGTTAACAATTAAAACCATGTTCTAAAATCATCATTATCGAGAAGCGGATCCAGGATTTGTAGTAAGGGGGATAATAACAACTTTTTAGATAGTTTAAGTCTTATTGTACTTGTTGACTTGATTCCGGAACATTGCAATTCTGCCAATTCTGGAACAGAGGCTAGGCTATGCCTATATAAGCTCCTCCTGAAAATGATATCATATCTTACGGTGCAAATTTTAATAGGTAGCTGGCCCATGCTTGATCTAGCTCTGTTTTCAAATGACAGAGTTTTGAGGAAACAATTTTATCATCAGGTAAGGAGTTCCAAAGAATAATTGCCTTTCGTTTGAACGAATCTATCATCCAATTTGTATGAAAAAACTTTAATGCTCACGTGTTCTAACATCTTATCTAATTCAGAGAAAAAAATCAACTGAAACATTATCAAAGCCATTTAAAATCTTTAAAACCTCTAACAAATGAGCTTTTTGTCTTCTATACGCAACAATAGGTAAGTTGAGAACTCAATCTGGGTAAGGCAAATTTCGTAAACGCTCAAACACACTCATGACTAAAGACTTTTATTGTTTAGGACTACACCCCAATCTAATGCACTAATTTCTCCGGTAGCAAATCATCAATGTTTAAAACTTTGAATAGTAGGTTCAACTCTATCTTCTCTTAAAAGATTCATCAAAAACTGCAAACTAGTCACTAAAATTACCTATAAAGGCAGAAATTGAATAACATCATTAATAATATTTTCTTTATCGGTAAAAACCTGTTCTAAATGATTAGATGGTTCACCATCTCCATATCTACAGTAGTAGGCTCAGCCTTGATGTGTTGAGTCAGAAAAAGGTCACTCATCGTATGAAAATAAAACTACTTGGTTCTTGTATAACTGTAGGTGTAATTTTGCCCTACCTGACGTGGAAATGTACCGAATACTCAGTACATTTGAAAACTGCGAAAAAAATCGCAAGTTGTTCCCGGGTGGGACTCGAACCCACGATCTCCAGATCACTAGCCTGGCATCATACCTCTAGAGCACAGAGCTTGTGCCTGATGGCCAGGGTTGAATTCGAGTCCTTGGTTCTTATCTTCTGATGAAACAAAGCTCAAATCCCAATGAATACTTTTCTAAATACAATCTCCGACTATGATTAAGACACTTCACAAAACAAAGCATTTAATCTGCAGTTATTGCTGGATGTACTAGACAGGATAAGATAAACACAAACTAAAAAAGAGATTTGATTCTTTTTCTATGAACACCAAACTAATCCGATTAAACAATAGGCCTAGACCTGCCAACCCCTGGGACATGATGATTTTTTTTTTTAAATCTGTTTCCAGAATTAACCAAAAGATGATGCAATTTACTACAAAAGACACGTCAATACAAATCATAGTGGTACAAAATTACTGCAAAACAACTTATTAAATTGCTGCTTGTCTATCGCGGCGAATACATTGAATAATAATGATCTACTCAATCATTTATGCATAAATCGTAGTATTTTGTGGAGGGAACCTGTAAAATCAGGGTGAAAATTACATTTGATCAGGGGAAGGAGATTGTTTCGATAATGGGCGACACCTGACAGGATCGGGTGATTTGGCAGGTCTGAACCAAAGTTACCTTTTTAAATGAAATCTGGGAAATTGCAATTGTTTCTAACATATTAGAACACTATGCCCAGACTCCTCATCTTGATCTGAGATGAACAATTGGTAGTCCTCAATACGATATTCATAGATAGGATGATACTATATAGAACAATGTTTAGGCATAACTTCTGTTTAATGCAATGAAATCAACCCTTTCCAAGACTGAACGTGAAAGTCATTTGGCCTTCTAATTAAAAGGATCCCATTGCAATTTAAGGCCGAAGAAGGCTAGGCCTAGCCCTCTACTACTATGCCTGTCTGTAGGCTGTACTAGTTACAAGGGGGAAAGCTATAGTTTATACAGGCATATATAGGCCTACCGGTAGCTTACATTGCGGGGGAACTTTCAATTTTATACTATAGGCCTATAAATTCACAACAACGCGACCCACACAGGCACAAAAATAATATAGGCAGGCCTAAAACATGTCTCTTCGGATGAGTACTACAAAAAAGAAGCCCCTATAATAACTCACCTATCTTTTTTGCTATTACTTATTCAGAAAAAAAGTTTTTTTACACCATTCCCATTCGAAAACTTTTGAAAATGGCTCGGAGATTACTGTGGTGGGATGGTGTGCGTGTGTATGTGTCTATGGTTGGTTGCAAACAAACCATGTGGGTATAAAGTGTTTTTTAGCACCTAGAGGGCAGCAAACTCAAATACAAACATGAACATTTTTTATTGCAATTCATTAATTGAAGTTTAACAAGGGATAAAAGAGACAAATCAAATTAAAAGAAAACATTAAAACTAATGAGACACAAAAAGAAACCCAGCTGTGCAAGAATATTGATATAGATGCTAAATATTTGATTAGTAATATTTAATTTTCTTGATATCGTTATTATTTATCTACCTTACTTTCTAATTCTATATTTTTTATTCACAATCCTCCAATAGGCCTATAGTATAGATAGAATTAAACAAAGTTTTTAGTCCTATTTTAGTGTTGAATTTAGGCAAATGAAATCAGTAATATGCTAAAACAGGGTGGCGCCAGCGCCCCCTCCCCACCCCATGTCGGGGAGAGTTGTCCCCACCCCGTCGAGGGAAAACACGTACACTTCGTCGGGGAAGACATAGGGCCTAATATTTATATATTAGTAGATCGACTCTCACTGATCGATTAAATAAGCCTTTGAAACCCCTACACCCGGCAACTGGAACACCTCCGGGAGATTTTGAGCGACGTCCGACGACGCCTACTTATGCTCTCGTCGGACTCACCAGCCCCCGTCGGGAAAATTCTGGCGCCACCCTTGTTGCGATGCTACGCCAGCAAAGAACAACAAAGTTGTTTAATACATTGTAAGTAGGAGTATATAGTAATAACCCCTTCTGAGAATAATTTACTAATTAATGTAGCACACAGAAAAAAAAAAGCACTGCAAAAGTGTAATATAAAAATGAAAGCATCTAGTCTAGGCCTAACTTGGTGCGAAGATCATGGGGACGGGAAGATAAAGTTGTGCCCCTCTCAATGCCTGTATCTCAGTGATTTAGGATCTATTTTCCGTTTTATTTTCTGAGAACTCTCCCACCTTTGGCACATATAAGTAATTAATTTGACAGCTGAATTTGAAAGAAAAACAAAAACAAAAACAAAAGCCCCCCTCCCCTTATCTTAGGAACAATGCCATTGATGACGACATCAATCAACCGGATGCGTTGGGGTCACTTTGTCATAACTGCTACTGCTCAATCCGCACTTGCAGGGATCGGGTACATAACAAAAACATCATTCAAGAAAACTTCAAGCCCAATGTTAATAGTCGATTTTTAAACCCCCTCCCCCGCCCGCACACCCAATTCGCCCAAGTCTACTATGATTGGGGGAGTTGATTGGGGGAGGGGTGTCAAGCACACCAATAGGC